TCTGATATATTGCAGAAAACAGATTTTGACTCAACTTGAAATATTTGTAAAATATTTATTTGACCTTTATAAATTCTGAAACTTTGTAAAAAGTTTTTAATACTAAAAGCAAACTGCTTGGAAAAGGAATTTTGCAGATAGGTCTTCATACTTGTAAAAAATAGTATTTTGTGAAAAACGCTTAAAAACACAAGTATGAAAACGTGTGTGTGATTCCCAATAGCTTCAAGTAAACTCAGTAACTATTTGCCTACATTCTAGCACTAGAGAGAAAAACAAAAGAAAGCTAATATCCTCATATAGAGAGCAATACTTGAGCTTTGATATAGCTTGAATCGGATGAAGCTTTTTTTCGAATTTGTTGTTCTTGAAATAACGTTGCTTCATCTCTTGGCCTCCTCCTCCTTTGGATATCATCGTTGTAGCATATATTCCATCCATCCTCCATTTATGACACTAACGAGCTTGATAAAAGAATTTACTACATTTGCACTCAATAAGCCATTAGTACCGATAATGGTGGTTGTAAAACATCATCAAAACATAAGGGCTAACATAATCATGAAAATAAAAAATAAACATGCATGTTGAAGGAGATGAAGTTATTATGAAAATTATGTAATTTTTTGGTTTATATATAGGCATGAGGTATTGCATGTGATAGGATAATAGTCATAATTAGAGTTTTATTAGGATTTGAATTTGGTTATTGGTGCTTCAAAATATCAATCGCACTACCAAAAATGAAGCAACAGTGCATGGATATGTATATGGAATTTTAAGGGCAGGCATGATCTGAATGCTATCATGTACATTAACACAATGGTATCACCGTGTACTCCAGCAAGTCACTTCTTGGTGGACTAATGTAAAGTTAATTTGATGTGTGGGAAAATTCCACAATAGTTTTATTTTAATAGAATCCTTTGACTTGACAATGTCCAACGTGATCAAGAAGTGTAACTGTCAAAACCTTTAAAAAAACTGGTTAATTATTTCTTAGAGGAACTCATATGGAAATCACCAAAAGAATCGAGTCAGCATCAGCCTTACCAAAGATGATTACTTTCTTACTAAGATTACTACTAAATACATCATGTCTCCTCATCAAATGGGATAACTTTACGCTTATGCTAAGTGCAGAAAATATAAATTGTTATTATGTGTTCTATATATTGATAAGAAGATCCACCTTATTCTGATTAATGGTAAAAAAAATGAACAGTCACCCTAAAACATTCAAAAAGATTGACAGTCGATGGATAAACCCAGAAGGGAAATATATCGACACCAGAAGATGATATGCATCTTCTTCCCCATGCTTATTTCAAATTAATCTACATTAGAGCCTTCTTGGAGCATGATGAGGATCTCAAAGCTTTCTTCCTTCGGGTTTGAAGCAACAACAAATTAAATCTAAATTAAAATAATATCAAACATTAAGATTTACCTTGATATATGTGAGAACCTGCAACAATCAAATCTTTATTCCTCTAAATTCTGCATGAAAATTGAATAATTTAAAAAAGATATCAATTTCCATAAAAATTAATTGCAGCATAAAACAAATATCACCATTAAATTAAATACACAATATATTTAAAGAATAATCATGAAAATAAAAAAACCATACATGTTGAAGGAGATGGAGAGTTACTATGAAAATTGTGTAATTTCTTAGTTTATATATAGGCATGATGTATTATATGTGATAGGATAATAGTTATAATTAGAATTTTATTAGGATTTGATCATAATTAGAATATTTAATCAATAATAGTTCTGATAATAGTTCTGATAATCTGTTAATCTAAATTGTTATTATAATAATATGTACGGATAATTTAATTAATTTAAGATAGTTCATGCAATGCACGTAACTATTATAGAATATTTTCTCAAACATGAGTTATGAATATTTTCTGTTATGAAGCAACAGTGCATTAGATTATTTAAATAAAGTAAATAAAGTCTGCTTTATTTAAATAATTTTAAAATGTTATGATAAGATAAAGTCTGCCAATTAAATGTTATGATAAGATAAAGTCTGCCAATTAAATTAAATTTAAAAATTAGAAATTGATTATAGATAGGGTAGTTCAAACTTTATAGGGGTATATTTGTCTAAAAAAGATTTTTCCTAACTCGTGCTTTTAAAGGGACTCATATGGAAATCACCAAGAGAGTAGCAATACTATTGTTATATATATCCACAGGACCAGAGATATCTCGAAAATGAACGAAGAAAACCACACAAAGAAAAACCATATTAATTACCCCCAGACACCACTGTTTTCAAAACCACAATTTTCCATCTCTATCTATAATATATCCACATACCCAAATTATGTTGTTGGAGTTTTTCCCTCTCAAACTACACCATTGATCAACTCTTCTTTTTTCTTTGCACTTAAATTGTATAGCATTCATTGCGATGAGGACTTACCTGGGTTCTATGTCTACCTTGAACATCCAATAAAAATAATAATGTACTAGACCTTGTAGTTAGTTAATAATGAGATTTTGTCATTATAAACAAATTAAGGTAAAGATTAATAATTCTTAAGAGTGTATTACGTTCCCCTATCTTCCACTGCAAAGTTGTTAGTGTTTATTCTGGCCCAAGAGAATATATAGTGCATTTCACGTACGAATGGGTGCGTACGCATTTGGGATCGAATGGGTTTTATTGCAAAATTTCCTCCGCTACTTTTAATAACGAGATACGGACGAGCTCAGATCTCAAGTTCTCTACTCGACAACAAATCCCCAAATCCATCTCTCTCTCCCCCAAAAAATCGATCTCTCTTCCCTCTTGCTCTCGTCGTCGATCGCTCCCTGCCGACGAAGTTTTTGCTCTCGTCGATCGATCCCTGCCGACGAAGTTCGTGCTCTCGTCGATCGATCCCTGCCGACGAACTCTCCTGCTCACAAATCTCGCCGACGAACGCTCTTGCTCACAAATCTCACCGACGAACAAGTCCTGCTCACAAATCTAGCCGATGAACTCCGCCGTCGACCCCCGCCGCCAACTCCTCTAGACGAACTCCGCCAAATCACAATGTAACTATTTGCGGACTGCCTGTGGATATATATAGCTATATTATCTCTTTCCTTCTCTTTTCAATTATTAATTTTTGTAAATGGTCAAAGTTCACATGAACATCTGTTTCCAAATTTAAAGGGCTAGATCTCAACCACCCGTCTTTAGTTTCAATTTGTGTCAGTTGAGATCTATGTTTGGTTTTGTTAGAACAATTATAATTGCCTCTAGCATTTCAAGTGGAAAGTTCTTTTCATACAAGCCTCTAGCATTCGAACTTGAATACAGTTTCAATATCACAACTTTTACAGTTAGTTTAATTTTACTCGAATTATAAATTTTTCCTATGTCTCTTTCCAGCACATGTATATGTTAAATTGTTCAAAATTGGCAGATTGAAATGGCTTCATCATCAACTGTGGAAAGTAACTCACGTGTTGAAGTTGATATTAGATTCATATTGAAACAATGCGAGTGTGGTGAATTAGCGGATGTGAAGATAACGAAGTCGAACAAGAACAATAACCGTGGTAGAATTTACTACTCGTGTAAAAGGCAAAAGTGCGGCTCGTTTTTGGGCTGGTGCAAGATTTCATCAGTTGAACAAATACCACTCGGCATTGCCCCACCAGAAGCGCGTGACTTGGTTGTTGTACGTGAAAATGTGTTGTGGAAATGGTTAACTGTTATAGCTTTTTTGTTGTCTTTTTCTTTGGTCATGAAAGAAATTATGTGATGTGTTGGAATGAAACAAGACTTTGTAAGTGAGGAAATTATGTGTTGTGGAATCGGTATTTTGTAATGCTTCACGCTTTGACGTGTTGGAATGAAACAAGTTTGTTAATTATTGCTTTTTGTGTTGAAATAACCGTGCTTCAACTTCTTTTAATTCTTTCATTCGAGGAATCAGAATTACAAGAAGGTAGGCTTTTACCATGTTACAGAGTTGATGAGCTTGCTGGAGAACTGCTTGTGTACTGAATTAATGCTTGTGTACTGAATTAATGCAAGAAACTGCTGGAGAACTGCTTGATAACTGTGGATTTGTGTATTTACAGGAAGAGTACATGAGTCAACCAGAGGTAGATATGCAGATACAAAGTACCGTGTGGTTTTTTAGCAAGCTAGCATAATGAATGAACTATATGATAATGGGTTTTCACAAATGAATGTGGCTACAGTTCAATTTGTTGTTGATTATGATCAATGTTGCTGATAAAATATTGTTTCTTATTAATTAATAGGTATGTATGACTTGCATGTGAACTTTTTCCACTACTCTTTTGATCATGTTGAGAATGGTCATGAAGTTAAACCATAATTTTAGCATAGGTCAACTATTGATGCAGGTCAAAATATATATGACAAAGTCATGATTTTCCTATTGTGACATCATATTGCCTTTTAATTTTTTTTTCTCTGATCTCAAAGAAGCCTATATATTTGATGTCGATGGCCTTTTTAATTGTTTAGGAAATGGGGAGCATATCACAACCAATGTCATCTGTATATTTGATGTCGATGGCCTTTTTAATTGTTTAGGAAATGGGGAGCATATCACAACCAATGTCATCTGTGATCCAAAACATTTGACCATAAACCCACAGCATTTGAGGCAGCAACAAACAACCTACAACAGGAAGTCACAGAGTCTTTTACCATGTTTACAACTCAATAACCAGCAGAAAAATCAGCAACATCTCAGTTTCTACATGTTTACAACTCAATAACCAGCAGAAAAATCAGCAACATCTCAGTTTCTGCATGTTTACAACTCAATAACCAGCAGAAAAATCAGGTTCTGCATGTTTACAACTCAATAACCAGCAGAAAAATCAGCAACAGCAACACCATAAACTTGCATGTTTACAACTCAAGTCCCAGCAGAAAAATCAGTACACATTACAATACATTGCAATCAAACATAAACAACTAGGTAGTTAAATGTGGGCCTGATTTAAGCTCCTGATTCAAGTTCCTGATTCAAAAGCGCCTGATTCAAACAACAGAAATCAGTTTGAGAAACATATAAGCTTTTGAAGTAAGTTAGGTAATTATTTAAAAAATTAGTATTATTGAAGTAAGTTACCCCATCTTCACTTGATGACCCATTACCCTCTTGCCAATTTGTATCACCGCATGTAGAAGACCTACATTATAAAGAAAAAATATATATATACATCAAGGGGATAATAGAATGTGAAGAATAAGAAAGGATTAAAGAAGGTAAAAGAACTACTACTTACGGATTTGTGAGTGCCGGACAATTTCGCTTATCATGTGATTGGCCTACTTTACCACACCCGTGACAACGTCTATCTTTTTTATTTTTGGCTCTAATCATTGCTTTCTCTTTTCCTCCTTTCAACCTTTTGCCGCACCCTTTTGCTCGCACTTGATCGGGTTCATTGAAACTATTTTCATAACTACAAGAACCATGAGCACTAGTACCATCAGTAATTATCTTACTACATATTGGATTACTTTTCTTAGTGAAGCTCATTACAGCCATGTGGCTACTAAGAAATTGATCAATTTGCTCATTAATGCTACGCAATCCATCGGTAAACATCTCCCTTGTTTCTTCACATACGAGGGACTTGTCAACTAAATCCAAAGATGATTGGATAAATTGACTCCGCGTTAAAAGATAAGGATTATCAGGGGTTATCTGCATGCCTTTATCATCATGAACTGTCCCTGATTTTGCAGACTTAGTCCACCTCAATAAGATGTATTTATCAGGCAATATTTCAGCATCAAATTTCATCAAATAAGAGATAATGTGAGTACATACGATTCTGGCGCTTTCAAACTTTTTACAACTACAAGAAACCAAATCCAACTGCTTGTCGTAAACGATTTCGCGGACTTTGCTTGTTGCAAGCTTCTTTCTTTGAATTTGATACACACGACGATTGTCGGTTTCCCTAACAAACTGCAACTTGTAGTTAAAACTGTCACACACTTCAGCCTCAAACTTGTAATACATCTCATTAGTGTAAATATCAACCATTTGCTCCAAAAAGTCATGATTTATTCTAAGTTTAGGTTTCTCAATCACGTCTTTGTGATCGGCCATCAACTCCTCGTGACGTTGGCGCACTAGTCTCCTGCCAAACTGTATCATAAAATCCACCAATGAATTATTCTTCGAAACAAATTTCTTAAAAAATGCATGTCCACTTTCTGCTCGTTGGCTACTTGACATGTCTGCTGAGAAAATGTGATTAACATATGCAGGAATCCATCTTGACCGAAGTTCATATTGATCTTGCAACCACTTGTTTCCATCTAACCCACTTCTTTTAATCAAACTTTCCCATTGTAAATCAAATTCTTCAGGAGTCTCTGATTTTCAAATGCAAGCCGAGAACTCATTTTTATAAATACTATACTTCACAGCATCAATTTTCTCAGAAAACTTCATTAATATATGCCAACTACAATACCTGTCAAAAGAATTAAATAAAGTGTTAAAAAGAAAGGCTATGTATAGAAATATTTTTAATAATCTATACAAACAATAATACCTATGAAAAGTATGTGGAAGAACATGAGGGAATGCCTTTGTCATAGCTGGGTCTTGATCAGTAATAATCATCTTCGGGGCACCACGAGGCATACTTTCCAAAAATTTAGTAAATAACCATACAAAATCATCAACGCTCTCATGATTCAAAAATCCACAAGCAAAAACAACTGTTTGAGCATGATTGTTAACCCCCATTATTGGTGCAAATATCAGGCCATAGCGATTAGTGTTGTAAGTAGTATCAAAGATTACAACATCACCGAAAAATTTGTAAGCCCGCCTTGATCTTGCATCGGACCAAAAACAACGAGTAATCTTTTGTTCCTCATCAGCCTCAATATGAAAAGTAAATACGGGATTCTTTCCTTGTTCCAGTTTTAAATACTCATAAAACATTTGACCATCATGCCCCTTCAAATCAGCCCGTATATCCCTCTCATGATTATACAAATCTCTTTGAGTGCACCCAATATTTTCTATACCTCCAGATTGTACTCCAAGAAAACTGAATTGTTGATGCTGAGGTATATTCACCATTGATAACTGTTTAGTTAAAGATTTTGTTGCGGCTGAAACGTGTCGGTGAGACCTTAAAAGATGAACCTTTGATGGTGTTGATAGCGGATGGCTGTGCTCCTCTTTAAAAATAGTAACAACGTATTTTCCGAAGGTTGATTTTAAAACTGTAATTTTGGCATGACAATCTTCAGCTACGCTCCCTCGACGTCTTTTATTTTCAACATCCGCGATTCTTGGAGATTTTCCTTGTTTAAAACAAACATACTATAATTCGAGTAAAATTAAACTAACTGTAAAAGTTGTGATATTGAAACTGTATTCAAGTTCGAATGCTAAAGGCTTGTATGAAAAGTTGTGTTGAGTTTTCCTTCTACATTTCCAGAGCACGGCTTTACAAGTTGGAATTTCTGTCTGCTATCTAAATTTAATCCCATTAATAATTTACACAGGGAGGAATACCAAACCCTTTCAGTATAAGCAATTTTAAAGACTTTTGCATTATCAGCAGCAACAATATCAGCAGCAACAATATAACAAATTATACTGATCAAGTTGTAGCAAATTTATAATTCGAGTAAAATTAAACTAACTGCAAAATGAACTAACTGCAAAATGAACTTTCCACTTGAATTCTAGAATTTTTTCCCCCTTGCATCAATTAAACTAACTGCCATTTCAATCATCCACAGTTTTCTTTTCCCTTGCATCAATTATTCTAAAATTAAACTAACTGCAAAATGAACTAACTGCAAAATGAACTTTCCACTTGAATTCTAGAATTTTTTTTCCCTTGCATCAATTAAACTAACTGCCATTTCAATCATCCACAGTTTTCTTTTCCCTTGCATCAATTATTCCAGCAAAAACAAAAATAACAGATAAAATACAGAAAATTGTTGGTTGATGAACTGAAAATTTTGTAAACTGAAAATAAGAAATTAGGGTTTCGTCGAGGAGTTGGTTGATGAACGCACCTTCGTTGATCGAGAGCTGGAGGGGGTGAGTCGCGGTGTTGGTCGAGAGAGGGGGTCAAAATTAGGTTTCCCGCAGCGTTGTTGGGGTAGCCGAGGGAGACCAGCAGTTGGCGGCGGAGTTGGGTACCCCTCGATTTGGGGGTTTCGTCGAGGATTTGAAATCAACAGTGTAGTCGGCGTCGATTTTGGGGGAGCTCCGATTTTGGGGCTCGGATTTGGGGGTTTCGCTGTTGATCGGAGTTGGGGGTTTTGGGGCTCGGATTTGGGGGGGTGACGTTGGCAGAGGAGGAAGGTAGGGAGTGATCTCAGACTACGCTGTTGATTTGGTTCTCTCAGGAGCGCCGACGAGAGCTACGGAGGAGGAGGAGTCGGGGGTTTTTTGGGAGAGAGAGAGAGAGAGAGGCTGAATAATAGGGTCACGAGCATAATTAATGGTCACGAGGCTTTTGCTTCAATTTGAATCGCACTTGATTTGTTCTTTTGCAAAAAACCCCAAAATCGACCTCAGTGCGTACGCACAATCCGCACTTGAAACGTACTGTATATATATATATATATATATATATA